AAATGTGTCACAGTAAGATATTACCTACGTTCAGATTTTGAACCTATCCATTTCGTATTTTCGTTATTTACATCATACAAAGAAGCGTTCTGTATTCCATGTAGGCAGTTAAAATATAAACAATATTTATTTTATATTTTAACTTATTGTTTATACAGCATAATAAATTATTTCTAACGAAGTTAAAATACTAAAGCAGTATAGCCTATAGGCTATAGGTAATATGAAGGTTGCTGGTTGGATACCTTTAATTATTTCTGTAGTATGATTTTGTCATTTTGATCATCTTAAAATTATAAAACGTATTGTACTCTATATTAATATGCTGTATAATATATCAATTTTAGTTTTATTGTTAGCAATATTGTTATGCTTTGCTACTAAACCGTATTCAGTAGATGTTGAGAGATTAATAATATCATATAGGTACTATAATATTTTTAAACCAATGGAAGTACCAACCGGGCACCGGCTACCTGGTTGTTATTACCAAAAACTATAAAGTGCACTTTATATTAAAATAATATATGTAATTTTCCAATTTGGTCCCATCCACCTGTGATCAATGACTTTCTGACAAAAAAAAAATGCATAATTAAGTTCATCACAATGGTATGAAGGTGTTTTTTAGGAAGCAAGTCTAAACTCTAAGTAAGACCTCTTATGAGGAATAAAATATATCATACACAAAATAAAGTAAATGATACTGTTAGCACACATATACATATAGGTACTCGTATATCATATAGCTGGGTATAAAATAGGTATATATATATATGAGTTTTGGCAACCCTCTCAGTACCTATCTACAGCTGAAGTTGAACGATCATTTTCAACTTTAAAAAGAGTAAAAACACTACTTCGAAACCAAATTGGAAATTACCGTTTAACAGGTATTTTATCCGTTCATTTGGAAATATCAGTTTCACCAAAACACGTTTTGAATACAATGAAAAAATCAAAAAGAAAATTATTAAATTATAATTTTACTAGCTGATCTATATTATGTTTTTTCAAATCGTGATATAAAACAAAATAATAATATTATTGTAAATGTTTGAATTAATTTTTTTTAACGATAAGTAAACCTAAACATAGTGTATATTTGTAATTAAATATTAATAATGTGGTAATTACTAATTAGTACTAATTAGGTACACTAATTAGCTTTTAAAAAATATTTGATCAATCAATTGCATGTGATTCTGAGTAATGTTGTAGTCTGTGAATCATTTTTTCTAAGTTCAGAGATTTTTATTCTCCAATTCACTGTCCGTATATTACCATATTATAGTTCAGTGCGTAGGTATATTATAAAATTATGTATAATAATACCGACATAAATCGTTTTATTGTGATGCATGGTCTGTCGATAAAGAAACATATAGAAATTTACTACCTACTCTATGTGTATGCGTATGGATCAAACACATTTTTGAGCAAGGGGGGGCAAAGACCCCCACGATGACTCCAAGTTTAATATAGTGTGTAACATGAAAAAAAATTATATTTTAGCATTTAGCCTCTGACGATATGTATCGGTTATTCGGTTACAACTTATAACTTATAAGGGACGGCGGCGCTAGGATTTTCGGGGCTCTGGGCAATATAAATAACAGTCTACGTGTAGTTTTCTGAACAGTGGCTTATTTTAAATTTTTTTCTGGGGGTGATCCAATAATTCCAACATAACATAATATATAGGTACTGGTATAAAGAAATAGTTTTTAATAGATTATAAGAATAACAAATAGTTGTTTATTATTATATAATATTATAACTTTAAAGTACAAAATCCAAGCGGCTTTTTTTTACAGTTTTATTTTTTTATTTGAAGACATATTTATTCCAATTCCAATTTCCGAACAATAAATAGATAGGCACAAAATATTTATAAATTATACAACTATAAAAAAATCAAAAAAAAAATTTGATAGTATTTATTATTTGTTAGGTTTTTTCAAATCTGTATTTGCACCTATCACAAATGAAAGACCATTGTATTTAAAAATAAATAGGTATTCTATATTAAGTATTAACTAATTTTAAACAAAAGGTTATTAACAAAAAAAATCATTGCATTCGACGATTTGCAAGGCGATTCTATGCAATACCTATGCATTTTATATCAGAGATATTTATGAACCGATACACATCACATAGACCCAGGGTACAGATAAATTTTTAAAGAATAAATAATATGATTTTGTATATATAAAAGTTCAGTATATAATATAGGTTAAACGAATATTGAAATATGTCTCGTAGCTCGGATAGTCGTATATCAATAATTATTCATAGCACATTGTAAGAATGCAAAACATGAGTTGTTTTGTATAACGTCCTTTATTATTACGTATCAAAACAGTTTATTTTATGTTTTACAGTTTTTCTTTTATTTTACAAGTTCTCTTGGAGCTTACAGATATTTTAAATATGGAGTTTATAAATGGTTCATTTTCTTTTGGTACAATTGCTCGTTGAGCTACAAATATTTGATATGTGTATATTTATTGATAATACTAGTGGTATAACTCACGTGAGTTAGGTTTGTGGACTGAACCTTAAAGTACTATGGACCCAGTGGCGTAGCCAGGGGGGGTTTTGGGTGTTTAAACACCCCCCTATTGACATTTCCCCCCTAATAAATAAATTGTTTATAGGGTTCGGGACTCCTTGCATGTTTTATTGTAGTGGTAGTAGGTTATTTTAGATAAGTTATAAATATGTCTTATGAAATTTTTTGGTCTTATCAAACGATGTTTGAATTTGCATATTTTTGCATATTGTAGGAAAAGTACATATTTGTACATTTGAGCGATTTTTCGTATATTTGTGCATATATTGAATTTTTTTAACTTAAATGTAGGTACTTACATACAATTGTCGGGAAAAATCATATTTGGATAACATTGGAAAATATCTTTAAAAATATTATGTTTGGCTAGGAACAATAGGAGCTAATTTTGAGGTTTGGGGAAGCCGAAGCCTAAAATCATACTACCTATTATAAAATTGAATAAGCTTAAAATTTTTTTGTAAATGTTTGGGAGGGCTGTTAAAGTTGTTGGTGAAGCTTGGCTACGGTTTGCCCTATTTTCGCATATGGTACGTAAGATTTTATAAGTCTCTTTGTGACAAGACTGTGTTAAAACTATAATTGACATCTAAATTCTAGATTGTACGAAGAAAATATGGAAATCAGTAGATACGTGTTCATCTATCACGGGGTTCACATATCACGTTATTCGTTATTACTTATTTATTAACCTAGTATTTTATGCCAGTATTTTTAAAAATCAAGTTTCAATTCACAATAGTTTAAAAATGTCCAAAACATACAATAGCTGTGTCCTCCGTCCATCACATTAATCAATATATATTTACCTACCTATATTAGAATTTGAATACCCGTGTTTAAATTATTTTTATCATTTTTATATACGTACTTATTTTTTAGTTTTTTATTACAAAAATTGTACCTATTATGTTTTATGAATTTTTCAAAAATAGTATAAAAATGTAGCTGCATATTATATTTAAGTATATTTTGAAAATGTTGACTGCTTATTTCGATAATTTTTAGTAAAACAAGTTCCAAACCCAAAATTTATTTGTATACGAAAACTGTAAAAACTTGGTTTTAATCTATGCTTAAACACCCTCCCCCCATTTCATAATTCTGGCTACACCACCGAATGGACCAAAACAGCCGACTCTGCTGGTGGTGTTTGGTGGCAGTACAGCAACGGGATGTATGGCAATCGGGCGTCGAATCGTCCTCGATGCACCGTGCTTCAACTTAGGGTGATCCGTTTTCCCGTGACAGCGCGGCGTGAGCAATAGTGATGTCAAGAATTACCAAAAGCGCGTACAATTATGGTGACGGCCGGCAACGACTGGTTTTGGAAAACTGCAACGTCGAGTGGCGGTTGCTCTGGTGGCGCGGCCAGCAGTGACGGCGGCGACGGCAGCTACGGAACGGCAACGTCGGACAGCGAGCTCGACGGTGGCGCGTGCGGGTGACGGTCGGCGGTTGCGGACAACAGACCGCCGCCGTTTGGAATCGGTTACTTGAGCAGTACGCGGCTAGGACGTACCCACGAACATACAATAGTAAGGACTGGCTACTGCTCGACCAGTGTGATTCGCTTATTGTCGCCATTTCAATAATAATCCGCTAGGGTCGCTACTGTGCGTTCGCCCTATTGCCGCCAATGTAGAAGCGTAATTAGCGTATATAAACAAGTAATACTTCGATTTATTCATTTATTTATTTATCTTAATTAATTATATCATGTTGTATAGTACCTATACTATAGTAAAAAATTTTAATAATCTTACTTTATAAGTATTTTCACCGATTAAAAATAAAATAAGAGTTGTTATTATAATTAATAATGATTGAAATTCGGGAATAAGATTATGCAAACATTTTAATGATTCTTTCATACTTTCATAAATCATAATATCGAATACATCAGTAGTCAGTAGTCTGGTGCAGTTATTTTGTTAAGGTTAAGTAATAATGATTTATAATATTTATTAAAAATTTTCATTATAGGTAGGTTCATCAGAAAATATAGTATTGAAATTACAATATATTGTACCTACTGTCCTACTGCATACTTGTTAAAACTAAATGAAATCAAGAATTAAAAAACAAAACTTTCTTAAATATCAAAAAAGCCGTATTTTTTTAAGTATATAGCAAAATAAAAATATTTTGTACCCAATAATTAGTTGAACATGTAACTTATTAATATCTAAAATAATTTATCCAGACCAGAATAAAATTAACTATTTTATTAATGTAGGCATGGGATGATAAAATAAAGGTAGGTATTAATAAATCAGAAAATAAAACTAGTAGGTAATAAATTAATTGAAAAAATATTTACAAAACACAAACTATTGTAATGAAGCATTAATTAATTTTTTTATTTAAAACACTAGGTACTATGTACAAATTAAGTTTACTTAACTTAAATAAGTAATGCCTAACTTAAAGTAAATTTTGAAACCTTTTTCTTTATCATGTTTTCTTTTTTTGTTTCAGCATTACATTTTTGGGAAAATTGCCGCATTCTCATATTAATATAATATCTAATTGCAAAAGCAATTATTTCTTCGCTATGCTGGAAACATGGAAAATAAATAATATTGTTTTTTAATAATTCAGTTAATATCAATTCAAAAACGTCTGCCATTAAACAATACTTTGTAAATAATTGTTCAATTTTACAGACAAAATTAAAAAAATGTAAATTTGGATGAATAAGTCCACCTCTGGAAGTTAAGTTAGTTAGTCGAGCAACAGGTTCAACCGAATTCAAATATGGTTGCTTAACTGCAGCTTGGCAAGTAGTACATTTGAAATAACGGATTATTTGTTTAGACAAATAACCGGTGACATAATATAAAATGCAGTCTATTACAGGGGATAAATAATAATCATGATCGCTGACTTCTACAGTATCATCCAAACTCCAGTCTTCCTGTTCAATAGCAAAATCCAGTCTATCACGAATAATTTGTAACGATGATTTGTTCTTGTTGTCACAACTATTATAAATTTGTTTGATACTATCAAGAGTAATTAAATTCTGGGAAGGTTTATTGTTTTCAACAGAGCAATTTCCAGATTTGGGTGGTTTTAAGACACTGTAAACCGACAACAACTTATATAATTGCAAAAAAGTTGGTGTTGCAGGGTGATCATTTGCACCACCTGCCTGCCGAACTGTACCAAAAAAGCGCTGAAATTTTTAAATAAAATTATAGATGTAAAACAATAAATTACTATGGACGTTTAACAATAAATATCATAGTTATACTTCTACACGGTCTTGATTAATTTTTCCCGTTAGTATGTAGGCCATATTATAATGTTTTTGTAAGTAATCACAAATTTGCAAAGTGGAGGTTATAGTCACTCTTAACCCATCTGCAGTATTTTTTGTTAGGAAGTGGTTAGGTTTGATCTTTTTATGAAGAACACGTTGTTCCCATTCGTCAAGCCACTTGAGAGTACTTTCTAAAACCTGTAAATAATCAACCAAATTAAAATAAAGTAAATAGGAACAATTTCAAAGCTTTAAAATAAAATAACAAATTTTATTTTGCTGAAAAAAGCATAATTGAGAGCATAATTAGCATAGTAATTTTGTGTGTCAAAAACATAAAATTATTATCTTAATGAATAAATGGTAGTAATTAAATACATAAATCTCAAAATATTTAAGCAATTTATTAAGTATTTTATATTTATAATTAAATAATGTGCAATAATAGTTAAATAATAGAGCAAAATATGTTTTTATCTTTGTAAAAGCATGTAAAAACCTGGTGCATAAGCATATAAGCCAGAAGTATGGTTATAATTTTTTCTTACTCATTTTAAATACTCCAAGATGATCCAACTAAACTATTTAAAATTGCACTTATTTGTTCATTGTAATATCGTATATTAATGATTTTTGATCATATTGATACATGATATCATATATGTAAATACATAAAAACATAAAAATTAAAAATAAACATCATTTTTAGTTTATATTTCCAAAACATTGATATTTTAACTCAAAACATTGATATAACTATGAATATCTATATTTTTTCATAAAATATAAAATCAATACCTATAGGTAGTCTATTTTTTCAAGTATTTTGAGTTTTCAAAATTTAAAATATTTACTTTATAATCATGACTGTTAGGTGACATTCCTTTATTTAACTGTTTCAGATTTAATGAATCAAACGCTTCATTTATTTTTAAACAAAAATCTTCAGTAGCTGTGGAATCTTTTAATGCAGCCATGCAGGACAGTAGGAGCGATAAAATTTAAGACTTTTTGCCATAGAATTACTGAAAACCTATAAAGAAAACATATTATATCAACTATTATTATTTTTAATAAGTTTTAATTAATAACTATATTTAATATTTAAATTGAGATTATGTCACCTGCACAGCTAGTCGAACACGCATTTTAGATGAACTATTTAACACTAAATGTGAAATTGATAATTTTGGACATACTCTTAAATTTCCCGGATTATGTTTATCTAAATCGTGCACTTTTACAAAATGATCCCATTTTATTAATGGTTCATCTTGATGAACCTATAAAAACCGAATTAATATTTTTTAAATTAATTATTAGCCAATTAGGTTTGATTGAAATTTGAAATACAGCCAACCTGAAGCTCTTTGTTGTTATAGAGCCTATTCCTAACATTTTTAAACAAATGTGGTGTATCTGCAAAAACAAAGATTTTTCTTTTTTCATTTGTTGGATGCTCAAACCAATTCTTAACTTCGTTTAATTTTCCATTAATTCCCATTTCAGTCCAAAATGTCCTATTGGGTGCTGCTCCATCACAAACAACTCCGTGAATAAAAGCACCTGCTTTTTCAAGAACTGTGATTGCTTTTATCATCAATTGGGCGAGCACCACACCTTTAGTTGGACCATTTGAAGCGAATACCGCAACTGGTTGGGCATAACTGTCTGCTAAAGGTACAAACATAAAAACCAACCCATGGTTTGCTTTATCAGAGAATGATTTTCCCTTGTCACCATCATCTCCAAAATCTACCAAACCTGAAAAATGTTACAATACCAATTAAAAACTAGCATATAATATATTAAGTAGTTAATCATTGATTACCTGTGTATGTAAGGTTGACAGAATTCACAGCTACACTTTCACGAGTAGATATTTCATCAAAAACAATTATACCATGTCGTTTAAATTCCTCTTTTTGAGAAAGATGAAGACTGAATAGTTGCATAAATTTTGGATCAAATCCACATTTTGTATCAATTAAAGAAAGATACCTTTATAAACATAATTTATAATATTAATATACACAATATTATCTTAGTAAAAAGTATAAATATTTAAAAAAAAAAACCTTATTACTTATTTACCTCCTTATGGTCCTTACACAAGGTAAAGGCATAATATCATGATTTCTAATAAAATTGTAACCGCAAGGAGAACGCATATGAAACAGTATACATAATAGCAACCAATCTTCAGAGTACCTACATCCTTTTTTATTATTGACTTGTGATGCAGATAAAATTTGAAGCAAAGCAATTCGTTGGTTATTTGGAACTGCATTTTTGAGCAATCTTTCTTCAAGGCTAATAGAAGTTAATTCTGAAATTTGTTTTTGTAAATTAAAAATATTATTTTTAAACTTTTTATTTAATATCATGGTTCGATTTTTCTTATTTCTTGTAACATTGTGTCTCATGCGAAGTCGTTGTAGTTGATTCCTATATCTATGGCTAACTAAAAGTCTAATTCTATGTGGGGTATTATTTATTTTCAATCTTAGTTTTTGGCGATTAAGACTTCGTTCAGCACGTGTACAATGTTCACACTTTTTAGAACCTTCCAAAATATATTGGCACATGAAGTGTCTTTGTGTACCAGCCAAGTCAATGAAGGTTTTTTGACTTTGAATATCGTCATCTACTTTAAATCCACTGCAAATACTTGAATTATCAAATGTTTTTACTAACTCTTCTAATTCTGCAATACTACATATTTTTTCCAGGCCAAATTTAAGTGCATCAATTTCTTTATCCATAATATAACATTTAATATTCAAGTTAATACCTACACAAACTCTTTTAAATATAAATGGTGTAGGTATGTAAGTTGGCTGTTTTTCTATTTTAATAGAGTAATAAGAAAACATTATGAGTTGTTTTTCAATAATATGTGTACTCCAGCCTTTAGGAATAACTATACTGTTAATATTTTCCTGAATCCTAGAAAATGACAATAGTTGGATATTATTTTGAACAGTAATTATGTTTTCTTGATTAATCAGATTATTATTTTTTTTAATATAATCAGGATTTATTCTCAATAATGGTGGTTTTCTATGTTTTAATGGCCTTGATAAATATTTTGGACAGTTTGGGAAAATTGATGGCACTGCATTTTCTTTAAGTCGAGGAATTTTATATGGCGTCTGTGGGGGACAAACCAATAATAGGTAAATAAATTATAGATATCTAATATTACACATAAAAAGTTGATTTTAAAATAAATATATGAATCACTAGTAAATAATCAAGTTTTAAAATGTATGTACATTAGCGGCTCCATCTCATAATTAAATATAATTAAACTAATACTAAAATAAAAAGTTACTAAATGTTATTATACTATATATTTTTATATAAATTGTCTCGACTAGTTAGCGGTACAATACCTCTACGACAATTTTCCCATTTATGTCTGTAATTTTTTTTGTCCTTATTATATCTTCTTCGTGAAAATGTAATTCACAAACCACTTGCCTTGGTTTAAATACAAATTCTTTCCTCGGTATAGCTTTTTTCCATAGTTCAAGTTTAGCCAGATCTTTTGGGACAGTGAAAAAATGGTATTTATTGACACAGGAGTCGTAACCAGATTTACATCCTGGTACGATGCACCTGTGTCCCGGCATGATAAATAATGAAATTAAATTAATATAAAAAAATTTTACAATAAACTACCTATATACCTAGTACCTAATAGTAAATGTTCACGTATTTTTACGGTTGTTGCGATTTTGTTGGGCGAACGCATATGTGGCGCTCATAGCGGAATTTCTCTATTATGGCGACGATAACCGAATCATAATTTTATATGGACGAGATAGCAGAGAGCAGCCCCGTGGACGTACCACTACTCACGCTGTCACTGCCATCGCCGCCGTGGTATCGTTGTTATTATTATTGTTGTTATATTTTACAATTGTCAAAAGGACATATTATCATTATTTTTCTATCATCGTAATTATTATTCGCTGACCGTCAAAGAGACGTCTCCACGGTCACGAGTCTGTACAATATTTACTGATATACCTACGAATTATTATTAATTCCATATTATATATTATCATTTAACAATCCAACGTTGTGTTCACATTTAATTCAAAAAACCATTGTCACCTCACTCCCATCCCGACGCGAGTCGTCGTGGCTAACCGCCATATATCGTAGGAGTTACGTCGGCGCCAACAATAATTATCAATATCAAACACTTAAATATTATATAAATATATCCTTACGACATTTGGCTGTGGCGACTCACACGCAATGGCGTACAGCTGCTCTTGAAAATAATTTGTTTAATTAGATTTATCAATTTTGAAAACTAGATTATTTTTTTAAATTGTTTACTAATATATCTTTAAAGAGCCAACTAATATATTATACTTACATCGTTGGACGGTGGTGCCGTGGCCGCTCGGCTTCGCGACCGTTGCCGACGGACCTCTTGAAAATTATTCTTTTAGTTAGATTTATCAATTTCGAAAACTTGAATGTTTTTTTACATTTTTTACTAATATATCTTTAAAGAGTATACTAATATATACTCACACCGTTGGAAGGTCGAGCCGCGGCCGCTCGGCTCCGCGACCGTTTCCGACGGACCTCCTGAAAATTATCAATTTAGTAAGATTTATATAGGAATGTAATTAGATTTATTTTTAAATATAAATATATATCCTTACGTTTGACGATGGTCGTGATGTTGAGGAGCGGGATCTGGAGAGGGGCCTAGCACGGCTAGCCCTGCCACCTCCCCTACCACTACCACCTCCTTGACGCCTTTCGCCATCACGACCACTGCCGCCGCCGCCTCCACCTCTTCACCGCCTGCCACCATAACGACCATTGCCGTCGCCGCCGCCACCACCTTCCCGCCACTCGAGCTGTACCATTTCACGACTACCACTACTGCCGCCGCCGCCACCACCTACACGTCCACTGGACTTGGCTACAATATAAATTACAATTATATACATAATATTAAGACTGTATTATTAAGGAATATGTAAAGGAAACACTCACCGCAATCCCGGGAGAGGTGGCTGTCTTTACCGCAGTTGTAACATTCTGAAACGAGTAGATATAATTTTAATCGTTTCTAATTTTAATTATTAACCAAATGTATGCTTACGTCGGGGTCGGGCGCGGTCTTCTTCTTTGCTAATGTGGACCGTATAGGTCCCATTAAAGTTGAAAGTACTCATTCTAAAGTTAATAAATAAAAACAAATAAAGAATGTTGAAAAAAACAATTGATCTGCATTATTAGGTTGGTGATATTATAAAATATTAAATTCGTTTAACAAAAAGCATGTGGTGCACACTCGAACTAAGCCACGGTTCTCTTCGCAAATGTATATGGTATAACAATATTATTTGATTAATGCGGTCGGAGGTGAACGTGTTAAAAACAAAAAAAAAATAGAGAAAATATTTAATTTGTTTCACAGAAACCATGTGTTGCAGACAAAACTAATGCTCGATTTTCGCTGCAAATTTATATATTATTATAATAAGATATTACCAAGGCTGGGCAAGTTAACGATTTTTTTTAACTCGTTAAGTTAAGTTATTTTAAAATAATAAAGTTAAGTTAAATTAAAAGTTAATCATATTTTTTACGTTAACTCGTTAAGTTAAAAGTTAACTTTGAAAAAAAAGTAACTTAAGAGGACGCCACACGGGCAAACGAAACCATGCAATGACCAAGAGAATGCGCTGTTAGGTGTTTTCGTGATCCGCAAGCACGCGACGTTTAAGCCGCGCCCACTACTCACGGCCGCGTACCGACCGACGCGTTGTCGAGTTCGGGAGCCAGTGTTGCCAGATTCAAGGATTTTTCCTTTTTCTGGGGATTTTTTAAAAGTCTAGAGGATATGTCTAGGATCTGGGGAATTTTAGCTTTATTCAAGGATTTTTATCTGGGACAGACTATTATATAGGTAATACCACCGGAAGTTATTTTTAGTTTCGAGAATAAATGAATAAAAAAATATAATTAGACTTTTGACCAGTTTATTATTGCACAAAATCTCAATTAAATTACAGAGTTTTTACATAAATAAATAAAATTGAAAAAAAATATTAAGGAATATAAATAATGTAATAAAACCAAAGAACAATTTAATAAGAATTAGAAAACAATACAATATAACATTTGGAAAATAACATTAACAATATTATAATGATTTCTTATTATACTATTTAATTAGTAATTTAAAAAAAAAAACAATACAATAAAATAAAACAAGTTATAGGTACTTAATTTCTAGAAATAAAGTGAAAACCAATACAAAATATGTTAATAAACAATTTAGTTACCTAGTGAAAAATACGGTTAACTTTTTATTACAAATGACTAAATTAAATTACAGAGATCTTTCTGTTAGTTATTCATTACTCATAACATAAATAAATTGAAAAGAATATAAAGCATTATGAATAATGTAATAAAACCAAAGAACAATTTAATAAGAATTAGAAAACAATAAAATATAACATTTGGAAAATAACATTAACAATATTATAATGATTTCTTATTAAACTATTTAATTAGTAATTTAAAAAAAAACAATACAATAAAATAAAACAAGTTATAGGTACTTAATTTCTAGAAATAAAGTGAAAACCAATACAAAATATGTTAATAAACAATTTAGTTACTTAGTGAAAAATACGGTTAACTTTTTATTACAAATGACTAAATTAAATTACAGAGATCTTTCTGTTAGTTATTCATTACTCATAACATAAATAAATTGAAAAGAATATAAAGCATTATGAATAATGTAATAAAACCAAAGAACAATTTAATAAGAATTAGAAAACAATAAAATATAACATTTGGAAAATAACATTAACAATATTATAATGATTTCTTATTAAACTATTTAATTAGTAATTTAAAAAAAAACAATACAATAAAATAAAACAAGTTATAGGTACTTAATTTCTAGAAATAAAGTGAAAACCAATACAAAATATGTTAATAAACAATTTAGTTACTTAGTGAAAAATACGGTTAACTTTTTATTACAATGACTAAATTAATTTACAGAGATCTTTCTGTTAGTTAAGGAATATGAGTAATGTAATAAAACCAAATAACAATTTAATAAGAATTAGAAAACAAAAAACATAAAATTTGGAAAATAACATTAACAATATTATCATGGTTTCTTATTAAACTATATGTATAACTAGTCATTAAAAAAAAAAAAAAACAATATAATGAAATAAAACATGTTACATAAATAAATAAATAAACATAAATAACATAACTACATTATACACCTTATACATACATATCATTATTGTGCTTTAAAATCATTTCTTTAGTGATATCAAAGTTGTAACAGGAGTTCCCACTATTAGTCAAACTTTTTGAATATAATATTCCTGTTAACGTTTCGGTGGATAGTTGGTTTCTTAATTTAGTTTTATTCAAATTGATTGAGCTGAATAAACGTTCTACACACGCACTGCTGTGTGGTAAAATTAGCATATACGTAACTAATTTGTTTATCAAAGGGTAAACTTCATTGCCATCATTAGTTTTTAATTCACTTACTGTTTTCCAAAATTTTAACAAATCTAAAGTAAAATCTAAATCATATTGATTTTTTAACTGTCTCCATTCAACATCTAAGTTATTAAGATCTAAATTTAATTTATGTTCAAATTGTACAGCAGCAGGTGCAATGGTCCGGGTATTTTTAATATTTTTTGGATCCAAGAAAGACATTAATTTTAATGTATTCATATGCTTAGAATTCAAAGGAAATCGTTTATACAGTTGATGACAGCATTCAATATAAAAACAAAGACACTTTTCAACAAATTGAGTAATGTCAGTTTTAGAAAAATTATTTTCTACTGATAAAACTGCTGTACATTTACCTTCCAAGTATATATCTTCTGTTGCTAAATAATATGCTGGGTTTCTATACTGTACTTGAGGTAAATCAGTGGAATTCAAATAATTAGGTTTGACATAGCATTCAAGTAGAGTTTTGTAAGCCGTCGCAACTTTAGAGTAAATATTATGTATTTGTGGATTTTCCGCTTGAAATGCGATATTTAAATTTGTGAGAATAGGTAGTACAAAATCCAAAAAATATAAATATAATTTGGTAAATGGATTAGAAATACTCTTAAAAATATGTGCCGCTTTATTATCAATAAGGTTTTCACTTTGGAAATATAGCTTTAAAGCGTCATATTGCTCTAAAATTCGCTTAACACACGAATGTAATGATAACCAACGTGTTTGGCACATTTGCAATAATTTGTGAGGTTTGGTGTCAACAAATACTTGAAATTCTTTATATTCACTTTGTCTTTTGAAACTATATTTCATATATGTATAAATATCTCTTACCATATCTTCAACAGTATTGGGCAACTTTTCCGCAGCATACGATGCACATAATGCCAATGAATGGCAAACGCACTTCATCATAAATATTCCTGGTACTTCTTGTTCCAAAAGGGTCTTTACAGAATGTTTTGATCCAAACATGACATTCGCCCCATCAGATGCAAATCCAATTAAATTTTTTTTGTATGGTATATTATTGTTATTAAAAAAATTCAGGATTGCTTCAAAGACCCCTTGAGCTGTTGCATTGCATATTTGTTGCAAAGCTCCAAATTCATCTTTGACTGAAAATTGATCCTTTGCCATCAGCCTGACAATAATTGCTAGATGTTTCACTGAAGATTTGTCTGTTGATTCATCTATCAGAATCGAAAAATAATTGGTTTTCATTCTTGACACAAGATTCTCAAATGCGTATTTACCAATAACATTATTGACTATCATTGTAGATTTAGTTCTATTACATTTAATGTTTTGAACTACTTCCGATTCAGGAGAAATACTTTTGATTAATGCCACGAGATGATCTGCTGTTCTAAAGGGTATATTATGTTCAGTTATAAACATCGAAATTCGAAGTTCCGCTTCTTTAGTCTTACTTTGGTTATCTTTTAAATTAAGGACCTGGGGAAGTTTATCGATTCGTGTACTAACTGAGGCAGCATTTTGTTTGTGTTTAGTTGATAGTGAGTGTTTTCTTACAGCAGAGAGCCCTCCCAAGTAGTCATCAAAACAAAAATTACAGTGAAAGTAATGTAGACCTTTTTTACTATTCGTTAACCAATTCTTAAAGTTTTGATCTCTTTCCCAATCTTTCCTGTACTTGGGTAAATAAGGCTTCTTTTTTGGTCCTTTCAAAAATCTGTCTTCTTCACTAGACGACATAATACAAACGGTAGTAAGGTGAAAATACTTGCCTAACACAAACTGTATACTGTATAGTGCAATATACGGTAATATGCGGATCAACAGTAAGTTCTGTACTCTTTCGACGAAAACTTTAAACTTAAAACTTTTGACTAACGACGAAAAACGAACATAACGGACTGTTCCCGGACGGTAACTATAATGTCTATAATATGTTTTTGGCGGGTCGCGGATGTATTATATAACACCATTATCTACGATCGCGAGTTACGATAATGGATAAGATTGGCAAGATACACGAACGTTTCTCTCCGCACTCCGCAGTAATGCATTTGGCTGGCTTATCATAAAAGAACATTATCATATTGTTAACATTAATTATCATTTATTGTTATCTAAATTGTTATCTAAATGTATTGTTATCTGTTACCTTGAGTTTTGATAATGAGCTGATAACCAAAATAACGTCATAGCCAGAAAGTAAAGTTGTTATTCGGTGATTCTGGTAATAGAACTAAGATGACGTATAATACCAATTGCATAATATTAATATAAAGAGATGCCTTTTTGAAACATAAATAAAGGAAAAGTCAAAGATTTTTATGGGTAAGAATCGAGGATTTTTACCAAGAAAACAGGATTTTTAGGTACACTTGGCAGGATTTTCTAAATTTTCACCTGGCAACACTGTCGGGAGCGTTGTTTATTATCTTATGAACGTTCGTCCGTGACATATATCCCGTCGAAATAAAATTCATACACGTATTGCCGCCATATTCGCTCTTATACCTACACTAACCATCTTTTAATTAAAGCCGCTGTCAGCCCAATTGTACAAGTATTTGTATAACAATATTATGTTGGCTAGAAAATCTAGTTTTTACCGTACGAATTGTTGTACAAACATTTTGAGTATTCGAGTTAACAATATTTTACGTACAATAACTTACGATTTACATTTAGTTTGTAAAAATATCAATATAGACATACCAATTATGTATTTAATTTTTATTTTACTAATATTTTCGTATGTATTACCATAATACCGTTGATTATAATAAATATTATTATTTTTATTATTCAATGACAATAATATAACATTGACGCTAAACCAGCGAAAATACCGTACAAAAACATTCCAATTTTGTTCCAATAATACGGCTAAGTAAATGGTTTTAGAGCAAAATACCTCAATTAAAAGTTGTAGAGGAGTTATATCGGGTGACGTTTAAGACTCGATTTTTGGTTTTTTATTTTTTTTATACCAATTATTCATAAGTAAAAAAGTGAAAATAACTGAAAACGATTTTATCGATTTTGAGAATGAAATATTGAAAATCGATTCTTATACGTCACCCTGTATAACATTTCTTCTTACATTTTAATCAGCCATAAATAAACTACTTGAATTTGATTTACACTTACTGAGTTGCAATCTAAGAAAGTAAAAAATAAAAAACCATTCAACTTGTCTAAATAATATTCAAATATTTTGTTAATTTTTTTTTTATAATAATTGTTTTTTATGTGATCTGGTTCTCGAATATCTGATTTCAGCATTCTTTTAGGGAATTGTGGATCAATAATTTCTGGTAATAAAGACTTCTTATAAAACCTTAAAGTATAAAATATAATATGTTGATAAAATAGATAAAATATAATATAAATATATTATAGGTAAAATAGATAAATCATGATTCACTATTAATCGTGGCTCGTGTATTCGTGTGAAAGATTATCTAATTACTCAGAGTGTACAAATTATTAAAAAAAAAGGACTCACGTTTGTAACGGTTCAGACATTTTAGAATCCCAAAAGTATTCGACCAGTACGGTGGGATTTTTAGATTCTGAGTGGAACGATGAATATGTATTGATTTTACAATGATGTGTGTTTTTATATTTTTTTATTTTTTTATTTTTGTGTCTGTGTACACGATAAGTAGTCGAAATAATGCTTCGATTTTCGACTTCAGTATCTTGTTCGATTGGAAAGTGAATATCGTTGGTGCATTGGGGAGGTCAAAATTTAAAATTCACAGTACTTTTCAAAAGCGCCAAAAAAACAGAAGAAAAATTAAGGAAAAACGTGAATTTTTACGCAAAATCGATTTTTCAGAAAATTGTAACTTTAAAACAAATGACCGTAGATACATGAAATTTTCACTGGTTGTTTATATTTGCATTTTCTATACACGATAACATTTTCAAAATATTTTGATTTATTTTGAACTGTTTAGGGACATTTTTATTTTTCATTTTTTTTAGTTTTTTTTTTCTAGAAATATCAATAAAATTTTATTTGTTGGTTAAAAAAACTTGAAAATTTAATAGAAGGCTCCAAGTATATTGTTTCAAAGGCAGATGAAAAATATTAAAAATCCTTAGTCACAGTTTTTTTTTATAAGCATTTAAAGTTCAAAAATTGACAAAATATGGAAAAATCACGAATATTAGCAAATTATTTTGAGTTAAGAATTCGTAAAAATTTTTCTTTTTAAATCTAATATTTGAAAATCTAATACAAGATTACTCATAAGTTTGTCTACCTTTATCAATAAAAAAATCTCTACCGGAAAGTCAAATTAAATTTTTATGAGCGTTTGAAATTCAAATTTTTACAACATTAAACTTCCTTTCTAACCTTTCTAACCGTAGTAAAGTCTTACAATCACCTTCGTGCCACATCTCCAAATCAGCTGCCGGATATCTCAATTTCACGCGATCGTACTTTTTCGGACCGACAATCGATTCGAGAGGTGTATCAGGAGTTACGCACCAGACAAGCCAGTGATCCTAACAGTAACATCACTGTTCGTTATATCAACGGATTCCCAAGGATTGTTCCATTAACCAATGTTATTAACAACACACTCAAAAAGTAGCCACCAACCAGCAATTGTGATTTTTTTATAAGTAATTATACACTTAATTTCAGTTGTTTTATATCAAATGTATCTACACATCAATGTAATCTTTGTACTAAGTCTAGATTAACTTTACCAAATTTTAGATGCAATTATTCTTTATTCATATCTAAGTTTTCAACTACCCTTCCCACACTCAATCAACCAACTAATATTGGTAATTTAAATAATAATATTATGTTATATGATTTGTATAAAAATGATTGCGTGTTATACAATAATAAACCCAACATGCATGTCTGTACTTCAGTAATGAACGCTCTCCCCCTTACTCATACACCCAATTATATTACACATTTTGGGTACTACCAAAATTGTAGAGGTCTGAGAACAAAATTAAAAACCTTTATATGTAACGCATCTATTTTTAACTATATTTTTATATGTCTATCTGAAACTTGGTTATGTGATAATATATATGATAATGAATTAGGTTTATATAATTATACTGTATTTAGATGTGACAGAAATTCATTAACCAGTAGTTTTAGTAGAGGTGGTGGTGTTCTTATAGCAGTTCGTGCCGAATTCGACTCGAATATTATCCCTATTACCAACAGAAATGTTGAACATATATTTGTCAAATTTACTTACAACGACTCCAGTTATGTTGTAAGTTCAGCATACATTCCTCCTAACAGCTCTACTCATCTCTATGAATCTTACTTGTCCGCAGTCCAGTCAGTTATTAATGATAACCCTAATTCTTTATTCCTATTCTGCGGTGATTTTAATCTGCCTGACATCACTTGGTCTAACGATAATCTTGGGTTAACTTATTCTTCCACCTCTGATATCAGAATCAATTGCCTTCCAGAAACTTTTGCATTCCTAAACTAATATCAACTAAATAAAGTTCTAAACACTAATGGGAAGCTCCTTGACCTTGTATTCTGCAATAATGAGATGGCTTCAGTGGACACTGTTTTAGACACTCTTGTTCCATGCGACCCTTATCACCCTGCCCTGTGTATTAATATTTCGGCTGAGAAAACTGTACCCATACCTATAAATTCTCACAATTTTTTTAATTTTCATCAAGCATCATATCCTGATATAAACAAATTTTTACTATCTTTCAATTGGTATGACACGTTTTTGTCTCTCGATGTAAATTCTGCCACAAACGCTTTTTATGATGCACTTCATTCCTGTATACTACAATTTGTGCCTAAAGTCTCCTTTACTCCCTCAAAATTTCCTGCCTGGTTCACTAAAGACCTAAAAGCGCTGGCATTTGATAAAAAACGTGCCCATGCTAAATACAAATCAACATGCAACCAGAGTGATTATATATCTTTCTCTTATATTCGTGCTCGCTTCAAGTCTGAATCTAAGAAATGCTATAAAGCACACCTTTTTCGTACCGAATCAGCTCTTAAGTATAATCCTCGTTCCTTCTGGGACTTTGTTGGAAAGAGCAAATCACAAAATGGTATACCTAATTTAGTCCACTTAAATGGCTCCTCTTGCACCGGCCCCGAAAAGATTTCCAATCTTTTTGCTTCACACTTCAACTCTGTTTACACATCCAATACTAGTAATACATTCGATATGCCATTTCTCCAACATGATTTACCAAGCAACTCCAGCATTAGCATCGTAGATATTGAAGCAGGTCTGGATAAGCTGAAGAACTTAAAATCAGTTGGTCCTGACGGGCTCTCTGGCATTTACTTGTACAATATTCGAAATTCCATTAGCTTTCCTCTACTGCTACTTTTCCGACGCTCACTTGATGAAGGAGTTTACCCTTCTATATGGAAAATGAGTTGTGTTTCTCCAATACATAAATCAGGTGACTAATCCGACGTTAAGAACTATAGACCAATCTCTATATTATCCCATTTAGCTAAGCTGTTCGACTCACTTGTCCTCCAGAGTATTCAACCATCTGTAAACTCTGTACTGATTGATGAACAACATGGCTTCAGACCCGGCCGCTCCACTATAACGAACTCTATGATCTTTAACAAGTATATCTTTGAGGCCTTTGAAAAAAACCTCCAAGTAGATACAATATATACGGACTTGTCAAAGGCTTTTGACCGTGTAGACCACTCAGCTCTTGTCCAAGTTCTTTACAAGACA